GGGCTCAGGCAACTGACTTGGATCCTTAGTTTTCACAATCATTAGTTAAATACACCAGTTACACATATTTTTCTCAGAAATGAATTATTGGGTAATAGGTATTGTTCCCAACTGGACTTTTCAGACCTGACAAGTGCTCCCAAACCCCAAACAATTACTGTCATAGAAGCTCTCACCAGCATAGCCTAGCCCCTGCTACCCAACACCATCATCTCATCCAACACAGACAGTAGGTCAGCAACAAAAACGAAGCAGGAACGAGACAGGTTCCATCAGATCCAGCTCAAGTCCATCAGCCTCAAGAACCAACTGCTCAGGAGATTTCAGTCCAGTTTCTGATTCTGTATTCTTCAGTAAATAGCTTCAAAGTAGGAATGCTAAGAGTAGCACCAACACAGATCTGCATTTTCTCCCCAGATTAAAAGGTTTTGCTTTTTAAAACTTAGAACACAGTACAGCAAGTCAAGCACCTTTTCACTTGGTCTATGCAGCAGACATAAGTACAAAGTTTATTTATTCAAAATGCAAAGGAAAACAATACCAAGTTATGTGCACATACCCAGCCATGCTGCTGGCATGTCCTTCTGTGGCTTCAATTTAAGTTATATTCCCTAAATACCAATGCAAGTATGAATGTAGGAATGGCAGGATCCTTCTAGCAATGTTTCTGAAGTCCCCGTTCAGAAACATGCTTGAATTTCAGGCCAGATGAAAGCCTTGTACCTGCACATAATCACCAATTTAAAAATAAAACAGTAGGCTTAAAGTGTAACCCTTCACTAGAATGGGAACTGGCATATCTAAAATAACTTGCCCCATTATTGCTGTTGGTCTGTGCAATTCTATGTTCAGTTCCTTTTCAGTGGAAAAACGTTATCAGTGGTCTTCAAAAACACACGCCAATATAAAGAGAGCAGTTCTGTTCACGTTATCCCAGTGATACCCCAGTAAATGCACACAACAGGAAGAAACAAACATCAGCAAGGGGGAAAAAGTGCCAACCTCACAAGTCATTTTAAACCAGAAGAAAGTTGGGCGCTTTTTATCCCCACCATAGAAACTGTCAGCACTGTACTAAATTTAGGTACATTGTCCTTGGAATTAAGTGGCTTGATCAAAGACTAAATCTTTCAGACATGGCAATGGCATTATGTAAGAATTCATTAGGCACTCACACATTGAAAATCTGGAACATCCTGTATTAAAACACTCAATCATGCTCCCAGTAACTTAAAACAAGGCATTGTAAAAATTATCATATTAGGACGTGCTTCAAAAATTTATGCAAGGACTTTGCTAGAGGAAAGGGTAGAATTTATCTGTCTTAAGATTGATGTTGATACCTGAGCTAGTCCATCTAAATTTCTTTTATTGTCAATGGAGGAAAAGGTAATTCTAGGTTGCAGTTCCTCTAATACTAAAACACAAGTCTAAAATAGGTACTGCTACCTGTAATCTAGATCCATACATTTAGATGTAGAAACATACACTGCACTTACAAAGATGAACAGTAGCTATACTACAGACATTGACAAGAAAATTGAAATCTCTAGACTCTGAAACTGGACTTCCATATAACTAAAATAATGAAAATTTCAAAAATCATGCACAGTCTCTGGTGATCCATTTTTTGGTTTAACATCTAAAGACACCATGAAACAGTTCATATTCCAAAAGCTGGTATTCTGCAATAAACTAAGCCCTCTTCAAGCACCTGAAATGGAGTTGGGAAATGAAAAAAACAAAGGGGGAAAGTGCCTATCAGGGGGCACTTCTGAAAAAAAAAAAAATTACTAACAATATGTTAAGTATATTTACTGCCAGACACAAGTGGAAGTTTTAGGCCAGCAATGCTCCTACACGATGGGTGATGGTTGTAGTCAGATGCTCCCAGTTTCCTGCCTGTGCATGCAGGTGCTGCAAACCTCAGATCTTCCTGTCCTCCTCCTTGTCTAAGCAGTTTTGCACCTCCAAATCACCCAGTGACAGCACTTGCAGAAGAACAGAAGCAACACATTTGTGAATGACAAACAAAAAGTTTTCAGTTAGTTTACAAACATTACACCAGGGTGCCTCAATAGGTGAGGATCTATGTTCTTCTGCCCGTGCTCCAAACTAGTAAAATATGGGCCACAGATCTCAGGGTGTCACCATACTCCTTCCAACACCACAGGGCCACAGAATTTGCTAAAAGAGGTACAAAAACTATTCCCAACTACTTTTCAACATGGAACTCCCTCGCAGAAAAAAAGAGGATACACAAAGATTTTGGGAAGCTGTCAGTAAGGGCCAGGGAAAGTCTGCAGTGAATCTGCTCAGCCCTGGATCTCCAAGAAGGAATGAGTTTTCCACCTTTCTTCGAAACTAAACTGACTGTAAAACAGCCCTTTATTGTAGAGTTAATTTTCAGTCAGCTCAACCGGTACAGATGCACAACTGAGAGTTTTTTCACAAGAGAAAAAAAAGGAACATGACACAAGCAGAGGGAATATATGCAGAACCTCCTCTTTTAGTAGAAAACTTCAGTCAGATGCATTTATTTGACTGTGAAAAGCAAATTTTCAGTTTATATTTTGGCAATTATCTTTGAAAATGTGAGTTAGTAACTCACTCTCTTTGTTTGCATAAACAATGGAAACTGTATTCTGCAGTTGCTTGCAGAGAGTACCCCCATTTCCATCGTGGACCTTAATTCTGCTGGCAAGTAAATTTTCTAAAAAGCTTTTTTCAACACATTTTACCCTATTTCCAAAGAACTGTGTACTGCTCTGCATTCTTGTTCTACAGTTTAAATGTAAAATTACTGCTCTATGCTGCTTAATATAAAAGTTGTCTAGCTAACCTGCATTCATGTGGGCTTCAGACTTATTTTTAATCCCTTCAGAACCGTGGCAGGAAGAGAAGCCACCAATACAACATGTGCAGAGACAATATCTTGTTGTGGCTGGTTTTCCTTCCTTATTTCTGCTCAGAATTTGCAGCACGCTTGCTTCACAGTCATTTATTTTGGATCTTGAACCAAGCAAGAAGACAAGAGCACAGCCCCAGCTGTTTACTTATGCCTGTGTTACAAGCACCTTACATCTGTAGCAAGTATCTCTGGAAGCTGAACTTTGGAGCATGTCTAATTTTAGGCACTCAGCTTCAGACACTATTGAAAACAAGCAACTTGGAGACGACAAGCTCTCAGGATTCAGGGCAAACATCTCAACTATCTGGGAAATCATTAGTACCTTTCCAAAAAGTCATGCCCTGAATGAATTCCAGAGGTTATCCCCTAAAAAAAAATTATTTCCTTGTTTTCCAACTTAGCAACCAAATCAAAACAAAAACTAACAGCAAAACACACAGCATGAGCAACTGCCAGTTGGTAAATAAGCATAAATAAATGTAAAGTAAACAATGCAAAAAAATAAGAGATACTTGGATTTTGCTCGCACTATATTTGTATCTCAGGAAAATAGATTTAATTTGCTTGCCTTATTAAAACCATGCTGCCTTCTTTATCCCCCACTAGAGTTTCAGTCTTTTATTTGCATACAGTACAGCAGAAGTTGGGTTACACTGGTATTTGGAAAAGATAACTGTCATATCAAGAGGAAAAAAAAACACCCCTAAGTTTGTATTACTTAGCCACAGTATTATATTTTTCCCCAGAAGTATTCTTGTCATGCTTATGAGTCAGCAACAGCAGAAACTTAACTTGCTTTTCTTTACAAAGGACAGCAATCATTAGGCAACAGGAATAGGTCTCATTTTTTCCTCTTTAACACTTTTGAAAAAAAGAATTGTCTTACATTTTAGAATTACTACAGTGATGCTCCTAATGTGCAGTGACAGGCAACTTACTGTTCAATAAACAAAGTACAGCAACAAAACTGCAGAAAACTCCCAAGTGAGCTCTTTCCACAATATCCTACAAACTTGCAAATGGTCAGGGAAAAGAAACTCAACCATCCTCTAAGTTGCATAACTAATTACAGCTTCCCTTTCAAACAAATCCTTTACACATAAAGCCTAAAAAAAAGATGCTTTAAAAGAACTAGGACATTGCATGATCTGAACAGCTGACCTGCAAAATTTATTTCCATCTCTATTGCAAGGTTTTATACCACCAACATCTGGCTCTCTCCAAAGTACATTGAGAAAGCATTTCAGGTTTGAGTTTTAGTAAACTCACAATATCTCAAAATGAAGATGGACTTTTTTTCCATTCTTACTGTAGCACTAGAAGTCAGACTGTGGTACCACATCAGCTGTCCTGATGCTGGAAGGCACCCCAGCAATAAGCAGGATGTACTTTATACAGGACAAAAGAGAGAAGACTTGGAAGAGGATGACCTGAGTCCCCACTGACTCCAAGTCTCTCCAGGGGAAAAGCCAGTAGTTCCACCCACCAACAAATAAATGATATCACTATCTTATAGGCAGAAATAGAGCAAGTAATTAAAAAGACCTGATCCTAGACATAGAAAACAGAGGCAGGCCTGCCACCTAGGGTCTTCTAAACTGGTGGGGTATATTGCCCTTATTAGTTATTACCTTCAAAAACTGAAGTGTCAGAGAAAAAGGAAAACGAGAATAAACTATTATTTCTCCTAAAAATCATTAAAACCCTGACTCAACTCTATTCAGACCAAAAATACAGGAAGCCTGACTGAGAAGTAAGGCAATTGAGGTAACAGTACACATAAAATGTGTGATTGATAAATGGTTAGATAACCAACCACTGATCAGGATGTAAGAACCCTTCCAAAGGATGAAGGCAGACTACACCAGACACCTGCTGTTGTAATCTCTTCCAAGCAAATACGCAGATGATGAAGCTTCCAAATACAGCATTAAAGATCTACAGCATGAACTGAACCGACGAAAATGCTCAACATATATGGACAAAAAAAAAAAATAACCTCAAACCTCAACTGTTAAAAATCAAAACAGACAAGTAGGAGCATAACCAGGAGAGAAATACATTGCAAAGCATGTAGGAGGCCAGTTACTTTCTGTATAAACTGATACACGGATAGCTGTAGCTTTGGCTCCTTGAAAGTGGGATGCTTGGAGGAATCAACACTCTTGGGTATTGGTTCATCTTCTCTACCGAGATTTGCTGCTTCCTGCTGTATCACCATGTGAAGAAACTTGTCAAGCAATAAATCCAGTGTCACAGTCAAGCACTGGGAGGAGATGACAACTCTTGCAGACACACCCATAATGGGAGCAGATGTACTTGGGATTGCCAGCAGCAACTCAGGATCCCCAAAGCATCAAGTAACACCAGAAGCAGAGCTGCCAAAACTGGCAGAGCTGTGGGAAAGGATGCAGCAAAAGAATAAATACTCCCCAAAACCTTTTTCTTTTAAGCTATTAAGAATCTTACTCTGGATATCCATGTTTTCCATATAAACATCCAAGCCCACTGGTTTTGGTCAAGTTCTTGGCTTTAGTAGCCTCCTGTTGAAATGGGTTTCACAGTCCAGTTCTGGACTTCATTACATGATACTTCCATTTTAATCACTGTTGAATCTGTAGCCTTCCACTGTTATTGTATTTTTCTCTTCACATGGAGAAACACTGGGATACAGAAGGGAAGAAGTCCCAGATCAATTTCATTTATGCTGCTCGCATATACTTTCAGCATGATACCTCTTAACAGTCACACTTCTAAAGCAAGCAGCCCAATTCTTTTGCTTTGCTTTTCCACATTTAAGAAGAAGTAATTTTTTCTCTTTTATCTTGTTCATATTTTAGTTCTGGTTTCATGACAAAGAAGAACTACAGTAATATTTTTTATTTACAAGAGTGACTACAATGGGACAGAAACATATCACCCATTTCCCTCTGCCCTAGGCCATTCTTTGTTCAAATCCTTATTTTATTTGCTGATTAGCACATCAGCAGAATATCTCTAAAACTTTCTTTTTCCACACTGCTGAGCCCATTTTCCTGTTTGCAATGTTACTGCTACAACTGGCAACTAGTTCCCTAGCAGAGAAGTAGCAACAAAGGTAGCACTAAATCGAAGTTACATTCTCTACATAAAAGACAAATGTTTCCTCCTAAAAATCTATCATATTTCACACTGTACCACGGCAATATGCCTAGACTTTCAACATTCTTGTATATAATAGGCAAAAAACACCCCTACACTGAGTGCAGTGTTATTGTTGCTGTGGCAACTACAGACCACAATTTTTTGCCTCAAGAGAATTAGCATAACCACAACCATACACACAAAGGCATAAACAGCTGTGGGTACCAACAATGTCTACAACTCATTGTACATGTGTAATGCTGCCATCAAAAACTGGATTTAAGTCAAGGAGTAGGTCCTTTAACTCCCCAGTCACTGCCTCCAAACCATTTGTCTACTCTTGTTTTTCACCTTCAATACAGCAGAGCTGGCAAAACATCCTGAGAAACCCTGCAGTGTAAGAAGCATAAGACAACTTGAAGTCTGCTTGCAAGTGAACAAAGTAATTCTAAATCTCTCAAACAGATAAATCATTGACCTATCAGATGGAATTTGCTGGCATAAATACTTACTGCAAACTGTAGGAGTCAGTGATTCAAACTTGCCCTGTGTGAGCTCACATGAGATAAACAAAGTCAATACCGTACTACTCTTTAACACTCCCTTGTACTGATAACAGGAAAAAACCTACTTTCACCAGTTTATAATGTCATTTAAGATAGGTGTAAGAGTTAATCATTAAATCTTTTCTACTCAGCAGTCCTTTAAAAAAAAAACCAACAACACGAAAAAAACACCAATACTTGAGCATGAAAACAAGCATGGAAGTTATTTGAGAAATGTTGGGAGTGGGGTTCCTCAAATGTCTTAGTTTTTGCCTTGTCATTTTGCATTCCCCATTCCTCCCCTATCTGCATACCAGTGCCAAACTGCACTTGAGCAAGAAACCACAAATGAAGAAATTGCTCAAGTCCAATTAGAGCTTTTGTCATAAGACTGAGGCCTGTAGAAGAAGCAAATGCTCACCCTGTGCATGACAGCCAGCCAAAGTTTCCTTCTTTGCCTGAAATAGTTTAGTTTTTATTCCACATGTAATCCAAAGAACTGATCTAAAAGAGTATCTTCACTTCCAGCCATCCCCAGCCTAACTAACTGAACTATGGAAGACCACAGAATATAATTTGATATTGATCGATAATCCTTAAAGTTGCTATTCCATAGGATTGCCAGATTTTTATCTAGGACTTACCAGGCAGATACACTCCAGTGCATCAGCCCTTTCCATAAGTCATGCAGGGTAGGTAGCTCACATGTTTGCAGACAGCACCTCACCCACTATGCTGCAGAGTTTATTCACATGAGGACACAGGCAAAAATTCCATTTTCAAGCTACCCAGGAGCACCAAGTAAGTGTTCATGAGTCCTCAAACCCCACCAGGGCAAAACATCTAGAATAAGGAAAATCAATAATTAAGAATTGTTCTAATATTGAGTGTTTTTTTTGTTCAGGACTAGACAGCATGGCAACAGTCATGCTGGAGTGACTTCCTTACTAGCTTTCAAAGTAATGACTACCACTTCCTGTTCAAAGCTGGTAAAGTTTTCCAGTTAATACTTTGAACTTTTGTTTTAAAATTCTGTTTCATTTGAGTATTTTACTAAAATTTAGCAGAATGACTGAGAACAAACTGTTTGGGAATTTGCAAATGTTTCCATTGATTTGATTCAAAAATACACTTAGAAGGGTTTTTTTCTTCACATTGAGATTTCTTTTTCTTTTAAGCTTGAAGTTTTCTTATCATGAGGGAAGCCCAAAACAGTAAAAAAAAATATTTCCTACCCAACTCCATTAAGGATGCAACATACTGCAAGAATAGCCCCCACAAAAAAAAAAATCTAAAAAAACTACATTTACGTCAGAAACTACTGCTTGTGCTTTTATTTCTGCTTTGGTGCTCACCTACGATTCTGCAAAAGCTGTTTAAAAAGGAAAAGGACAAACAAAAGGAAAAACGACAAACGAAAATTAACACTTCCAGTCAAGACTGCAGGAAGGAGAACGATCAAATCCCACACCTTGCTCTGGGGGTGACCACCAGAGGGGTTTCCCCTTGGCTGTTTTTCTCCATGTGGCATTCTCCCCATCAGCAGAGGCAGGACAAGCTGACCCAACTGAGCCCCTTACAGAACAGACTGGATTCCACACTGTCAGAAGGGACCAAACAAGCCTGACCAGTGCTATGCTCTGCAGAAACCACCAAATGAAGGTCAGAGATTCCCACTCTGCCTGTCTTACCAAGTAGTATGGTGCAGCAGAAAGTGAGCAGTCAGGAGATCCATTCCCAAAGTGCACTCCAGATCCAAACTGCATGTTAACATACAGGCTCCCACTATTAGTAAAGGAGAGTAGAAACTTCTGCATCAGGCTGTACTTTTAAGAGCAAGTCTGCATTTCTGGAAGCCCTCCTTAAGTATCCTCACTAGACTAGACCCAAGCATCCAGGAAATGAGGTTTAGTACCCTGACAGTTACCTGTAACTACTAGGTCACATACAGAGACATTTTTTCACTCCTGAGAGAAACAGGACCATTGACACCACACTTTTTACTTGGTTTTGGACAAGTACAGAAGGCCAAGATTGCCTCTGCAGTGATGCCAAACCCTAAGCTGCAGGCTCCCCTGTCCAGGGATTACCAGCACTGCTTGCAGTTTGGCAAGTCTATCTTGAGTAGTGCCCTAACAGGAGCCAAGGTGCAGCCAGGGCATTAAATACCATGCCAGGCTGGCCAACACACAGGAAATCCTAAGTATAGGGAGCTCCCCTGAAAGCACAGACCCAGCTCTGTGCTCAGTGCCTACTTCCCCAGGCTGGAGCCCAAGAGTCTTCGTCACCACTTTATATTGCCTTAGAATAGCTGCAGAGCACCACTAAATCAAAGCTGGTGTGATTTATGTGCAGAGAAAGTTTCAGGAAACTCTATGAAGCACTTCAACATTTGTTTTTCCAGATCGCATTTAACACAAATGAGAAGAAAAGAGTTTAAAAGGGGGAAAAAAATCACAAGCTGCCGATTCCAGCTGTACTTTTGTCACTCAACAAATGAAAAGTTTAATAAGACAGACTTTGTTGTGGAAATATTTACAGCCATAGTATCAAGACATCAACCACGAGGTTCAATACTGCAATGCCAAACTGAGTGAGAACACATTGAAAAAGGCAGCATGTGTTTCCAAGACAGAGGAAAATGTGTTATTATTGCAACTGTTAGTAATGGCCAACCTGAACAGAAATAAATGCTTTGGAGATGGCCTTAATCTTTGGAAAGTACTGTCCCTCTCTGGCTTAGGACTGTCTCAGGAACATACAGAAGCTTGGGCCCTGCACAAACAGGTTCAACCAGTCAAAGAGTAGATTTGTTCTAAATGCACAGAAAAGCCATGCAGCCCACTAAGCACTATGAACTGCCCTACTTGTAGGCATCTGCTTAACTGGGGGCCCAAAACAGAGTCAGCAAGACTATGTCTCTGTTCTGTAAATCAAATGTTCTTCATGGCATTGCAGTAAAAAGCTAATGATTTATTTTAAGGAAAGTAGTTTTACAAAATCTGAGTACTCAAAAGTCAGAAAATAAAAAAATTAAAGCTGGTTTTGGCAACCTAAATAATACCTATCTATAAATGCCTTTTAAGATGTTGACTTCCAATTTCATCCTTGCTTACTGTTTCTCAAATAACTGAAAGCTATACAGCTTTGTTTCTTTTTGCAGTTCAGACTATCAGGCAGGGAGGCATTAAATCTGACAAGTAATGTTGCAATTCAAAATGAAAACAGAACTTTTAATTGCAGAATGACTGGCATTAGGAAATTAAAATGTAGCATAGTTTATACCAAACATGGACAGTTGTTGCTGTTGCCTTTGAGTAGCTTTTTCAGGTAAAAATAAGATACTAAGCCCACTTATGTCTTAAATTAACTTCTTCAGTTATCTCCCTTCAATCTGTAATTTCCTTTGCCTTAGCATTACATCTTCTAATGCCTTTATTGGCAACCATTAAAGGGACTGCAAAGTTCCCAGACTAATTCTGTTGAGTTCCTAGAAATGTAATTTTTTATATGGATTCTCACTGCCAAAAGTGAAAAATGGATTAGAAAAGCCAGGCAAAGGGGCTTAGGACTAACATGTTGCTGACCAGCTAAGGCAGAAAGTGTAGAAGTAAAACTGCAAGTGAGACAGCAA